TAGAGATTAACGTATTTCACGCGCAGGAGCATCAAAACTGTCATACGCACATATACGAAGCATGAGGCGCCATAATTCGTCGCAATCATAACCGCAGCCGAAGAAATTGCATGCAGTGTACGTGTCGTATTCGCAGCGTCCCTTCGTGCGGTCGCCAAATTCTGCAGCAGCGTCGTAACAAGACAGAGGCGCTTCTACTGCACTATTATCTATAGTTTTTAGGTTTTTACCTCAGGCAATGTAGCCGCAGGCACTGCTGCTACTTGTATGAGGATAACTCCAACAGTTGTAGGATTCAGCAGAGGTGGGCGAAGGAGGGTGTGCGCGCTTGTCGAATGTGACGTGCGGGACGTGTCCTTGCTAGTCCAATAAGAAAAGGGGTTGGAACAAGATGGAGAGATTTGGGCAGCTCTGGCCGGATTGGCAATCATTGACATGGTGCACAGGGTATGGGCTAACAAAGGCGCGGAGTGGTGTGGATATGGTGGTTGTCCCTTATTTGTGTTCAAGGCAAAAGCTGCAGCAGGAGTGAAAGAGCGGTGTGAACGGACAGCATCAGGGTGCGAATAAGGTGGGTAAGTGTTGGTTACTTCTGTGGCGATCGTCTAAAGGCGACTTGGAGCTAGTGAGTCGACACGATAAACTAGTTCCTTATAGAACAGTGCAGCCTACTCATACACAGAGTCAGCTATAAATACCTCATCCCCACTTTTTGCTTACACGAGTACGGCAAAGGTTGTCCAGTTAACGATGTGAATCGGACGGTAGACTACGACTGCATCTGTTGTTGCGGAATAGGCAGTAGGTCGCTTTAAATAAACCGAGTAATGCACTAGTCTAATATCACTACCTAAAACTCATGGCCAACTGACACTCGGGATGATGGAATAACCAGAGTACACCTTAAGGTAAGGATATACTACGTCCTGGTTGAAGCGGTTACATGTTGCGTCTAGCCGCCCAACTTGATACGTGCTAATAGACTTGCATACGTCGTTGTTGCAGCGGGTGGGATTCACTTTAACTCAGGCAGGTTGAAACCTGCTGCAACCGGTTTGTATTCGCACAAAACATTTGACGACTGCTCACAAGTAACCATAAGTTTGGTGTCACTATTAGCTGAAATATCGGGTGGTCTGTAAACACACCAAAATGTCTTCGTCGATCGCAGGATACCAGCCATTATCCATACTGAGTCCATGATTACGGACACTTTTGCTTGGTTTGTATTTTTGATATAAATGGCGGCTCACACCCCTCGTTTATGCACACCAGATTGCACGCAAGGCTAATATTCAGGAGGTGAGTATACCTTCTCTTTAGAATATGGGGAAAACCATGTTTCCAGAAGTTTTGGGTTTCCGAAATGCTTAGAGTTGGGGTGTCGTGTAAAACGCAGTAAGTGTACAGGATTCAGTAAAACTCTGATTAGGTTACCAATAATGTCCTACTGGGCGAGGTCATCAAACTGCCTGCCTCTTATTGATGTCGACTTTGATTCTGGGATATTGGAGCACAGTACGCTCAGTACCATTAGTTGTCTCTTTACACTTTTCGACATCTCTCGGTTGGTGATTAAAATACTCGGAGATGTACCTCAGGAAACTGTTGGTGCTGGCACCAGAAATACTCCGCTATGTTTCTCAGTTTCCGATCCAGTTGGAGGTGCTGTTAATTTTAAAGGACAGCTTTTCTTGGAAGTGTAGGGCCCTAAAAGATAACTGCTATCTTTCATGTACAATTTAATGGTTTACCGATTGTACATTACTCCTTCTTGTTTTAAGCTTCCTTGCAACCGGCTCGTCACTCGACAGCGTTGTAAGCTCCTGCGCTCACGTATTCGCTGTCTTCTCGCTTCATTCGTCAGCTTCTTATTGTAGCCCATCTGTTGTGTCGCCGGTGATGCCTTCACCCCACGACCGCAAGAAGAAGTCCAAAGACGAGCCAGAAGGAGACTTGTATACATGAAATCACAGTTGCTTAAATAGTTTGAAGGCAAAATGAAGGGAAGCTACTAAAGTACACTTGAGCCAACCAACTGAAGGAAAAACGTAAAATGCAACGGCGAATAAGCAACCCTGTATGTAAGAGCGCATCGCGTAAGTCCCTAAAAATAGCATCAATGGACTCCAAGCGTAAAGCGAACGACCATTTACAGTGACGGGCATTGGCCAATCAGAATGACGAAATGAAACGTTCAAACAAAAGTCACGAAACAAACGCGAATAAGGAATGCAGACCCAAAAGTTGAAAACTAGTACAATAATTGTGTGACACTAAATATTCCTTTAACATAACCAAGTAGAACAGTGATGAGAAGAAAAAACCAATAGAATATGTTCTTGCAAACAGCGCTGCTGAGAAAGGCATGACGAGGAGCGTCCATTAACAATGACGCGGATGTACCAATCGGGCGAACCCAGTAGAGCGTTTAAACAACAGTCAAGAAACAGAAAATAGGAAGAGTAAGAATAGCTATCAAGCTCAGTCACAATAAATGAATGTCTAATAGCTGTTCTCCTAATACCTCCCTCTCTAAAAAAACGGGTTACCTGGTGTTCACATAGGTCTTTCGACGCGGATCCACTTGGAGAGGCTGCACGAATCTTCTTGTTCTCTTTGGCCTGTGGCGAGCTCCATTTTCCATGCATTCCACTGGACCAACGTCACCACCTGCAGGAGTACTAGGCTTGTCGGTGTCCAGCAATTCATTGACGTCAAGTCCATTGGCTTTCGGAACGGCGGCACCATGTGTATAACGTGGCCTCAACTGATTTACGTGGGGTCTCCACACCTGTGTACCCACTTGAACATCATACATCACGTTGCCTCGGCGCCGCAGGACTCGTCCTGGTATCCATGCGATCTGCCGTCCTTGATTCGCAGCTGCAAACAAAAGATCGCCCACTTTGAAAATCCTTTTTCTTGCACCATACCGCCCGTTGTACTGACGCTCCATCACTGAATTCCGTAGTTGTAGAGACGGGCGCTTGGGGGTCAGCAAATCTAGTGTGGTTCTCAACCTTCGACCCATAAGTGCTTCAGCTGGTGATTTGCCATCTGGTGCATTAGGATTCGGGGTAACTCTATAGTTCAACAGGAAACGTTCCAATCTTTCGTTCAACGATCCCTCCTCTTTTGACTTCCACAATGCTCGTTTCAGGGTATCCACAAATCTTTCCACTTGGCTATTTGAGTGCGGATGATACGGGGCCGTCCTCACATGCTCGATCCCATTCTGTGCACAAAATGCAGCAAATTGACAGGACGTAAACTGTGCCCCGTTATCTGACACGACTGTTACTGGCAATCCGTGCTGACTGAAGACATGTCTCATCGCAATAATTGTGCTGTTGGCCGACGTGTTTTGCATAGTGATTACCTCCGGCCATTTACTGTAGGCGCCAATAATAACGAGGAAATGCACTCCTTCGACTGGTCCTGCGAAATCTACGTGTATGCGCGACCAGGGCGATTCAGGGTTTGGCCAAGCTTGTAATGTAGAACGTACCGGTAACTTGGAGGCACTGATGCATCTGGAGCACCATCGGCCAATATCTTCAATTTGGCTATCCATCATGGGCCAAAAAACGTAGCTGCGCACAAGCGCCTTCATACGAGAGATTCCTGGATGGCTCTTGTGCAGTTGCCGTAACACGCGTGACCTGAGTATTTCTGGAATGACAATGCGATCTGCAAAAAACAGGCAGGAATCAACTTCAGACAAAGAGTTGCGTCGTGTGAAAAACTGTGTCAATGCTTCTTTCGGGCACTTCTTTGGCCAGCCCCGTCTTGTGTAGGTTAATACCTCTTGCAGCAATGCATCCTGTTCAGTGGTTTGCTTCACCATTGTGCCAGTGACCGGTAAATTACTCACGGCGTCATGGACCATGTAGGTTACACCCGTTTTGGCTGCGATGGAGGCAATGACTGCGTCTTCTGACTCAAGCTTACCGGTATCGATTAATCTGGAAAGGGCGTCCGCTTGCCCTATAGAATCCGTAGACAAGTATCGCATGCTGAAATCATAACCCAAGAGCAGAGTTGCCCATCGCTGAAGTCGACTGGCCGTATATGCCGGAATCCCCATTTTGGATCCAAAGATTGCCAGAAGCGGTTTGTGATCAGTCACCAACGTGAACCGTCGACCATATACCATCTTAGGGCATTTCTGCACTGCCAAGATAATAGCCAACGCCTCTTTCTCAATCTGACTATAATTCTTTTCGGATGCCGTCAACGCCCGTGCAACATGTGCTATAGCCTTTTCGGATCCATCTGGAAAACGATGTGAAATGACAGCACCAATTTCATAGCTTGAAGCATCCGTGGCAACAATAATCTCCAGCTTCGGGTTATAATGCGTAAGCAGTAAGTCCGACTTCAGCAGAGATTTCAGTTTCTCGAACGACTGTTGACACTGTGCAGACCATTTCCATTCGACGTCTTTCATCAGCAGATGGTTTAGAGGATGCCGCAGGCGATGCATGCATGGTAGAAATTCACTATAGTGACTCACCAACCCAAGGAATGACCGTAAAGTTGTGACATCTGATGGCGCCGGTAACCGGTCTATCACCTCGATATTTTCGGGATCGGGTCGTCGGCCGTTCTCGTTAATTACGAAACCCAGGAACTTAATTGACTTCAGGAAAAATTTGCACTTGTCCGCTCGTAATCGGAAACCGTAATCTTTGATTCTTTTTAGCACGTCATCCAATCGTTGAAATAGCTCATCTTGCGTCGATCCCATTATTATGATGTCATCCAGGTAGGCTGCCGCTCCGGTTACACCCGTCAGCATGGCATCCATGACTTGCTGAAAGATTGCCGGTGCCGTTTTGACTCCAAATGGCAAACGGTTGTACTGGTAGAGACGGCGATGCGTGTTGATTGTTAGCAGCTTTCTGCTTTCGGGTTCATCTTCTAACTGCAAATAGGCGTTTGCAAGATCAAGAGTAGCAAAATACTTGCCTCCGTTCAGTTTTGCGAACACGTCCTCAGGGAGTGGAAGCGGATACTGATGGGGTTCCAGTGCAGTCCGCTGTCTCCGACTCCGATTGCCTTCTGATGTCCGCGCTTAATTTCGCGCACCTTCTCGGACTAGTCTTAACTAGTCTTACAGAAGTAACCGTAACCCAACTTTCGCTAGTACCAGCTTGCAGATTTTCTACATACTCCTTCGGCAGATTGGAAGTGGCCTTACGTGTAGTTACTGCGATCGAACTGGGAACCGCATTAGTCAAACGTGAGCCACGCATGGTATTGGAACAACAGTTGTTGTTCTGGGCTCTTCGTGTCGTGTTGCTTTCCGTGTTAGTAGCCGTCCTTCTCGGGATAGGATCAGCACTTAATGGGGAGGATTGCGTCGCACAGTCCGCTATGCTTACCCCAACCGTAGTGACTTTGGTGCTCACCATTTCCTCAAACTTGGCTAGTAACTGGTCGTACTTCCGAGATAATAGGAGCAAGCTTTTTATCAGTGGGATAGATGTGCATTCCATGCAGAACCATAGAGAATCTGGCTTGTTTAACAACTTGGCCTGACTAGGTTTAACTCGGAAGCATCTCGCATGGGAAACTTACAACCGTTAGAGCACAGAATGCCCCCTCAACAAGTTTGTAACATGATCCACATACGTCTTCATACTGTGGCACACTGGGCATCACGCTTGTTGAGGGAATGTTACGAAGCAGCTGAATGACTCACCCTCTATGGTAAAAAGTTGCCCTGTTACTGACGATGTCAGAAAGGTCACAGCTTCCCCGTTGCAGTTATGTGCTCGCAGACTGTCCTCTATAACTTGCCGGTCGAATGTGTCAGTATGAACGTGCGGCAGATTACACGAGGTAGTGGTTGAGAATTTTCGTCGTTAGGCCTATGGATCGCAGCGAATGAATTTGCCTTGAGACCTGTAGCTGCTCCAAGCAATGTTGGAGTTGAACGAGTGACAGTTCCTTCGAAAGCCTTTGAAATGGTCTTGTAGGAGCTTTAACTTATTCTGCTATTTTTCGCTTATTTCTCTTCACACAGGGAGGATACTAGCCACAATCATGTGACTTTCTAACCATACCATTCAAAAGCTATTGATGTGCATACAATCAATGGACCATTTACTTGGAACTCTGGCTTATACCATCTAGCCAACTACTACCTGTGTTTTCCCTGTGCAATCTTTCTGCTCTACTGTCGTAGTGTATTTTCGGGAGCCTCCCAAAATATATCACTGGGATACCAACAAGATTTTATTTCTAACATCCAGTAAGGACGGTGGAATATGGCAGCCAGGCTGTGGAAGTCAGAGATAAAGCTGAAATGCTGCTAAGAGTCTTTCAGAATCTACATAGAAGCGACAATGGATGTGCTGCACCATTGCAGCCACATTGTGTCAGCAGTTATATAATGCAGGACATCGTGCTGACTGCACAAGAGGTCTTCACCGTGGTGACTAACTTGAATCCCTTCAAATCAGCCGGTCCTGACGATGTACATCCGGCAATAGTCAAGCCACCAGCTGACCTCCTTCAACATCCTGTTCTGGAGCTGTTCAACTTGTCGCTCCAGGAATGCAAGTTGCCACGAGACTGGAAGGAAGCAGCCATAGTTGCGATTCACAAGGGTGACTCCAAATCGGGGCCCCTTAACTACAGACCCATCAGTCTAACCTGTGTTCTGCTCAAGTGTTTAGAGAAGCTTATAAGAAACCGGATTTGTGAGCATTTGGCGGAACACAGTCTACTTAGAGCAGAGCAGCATGGTTTCATTAAAAGAAGTCGTGCCTCACTAATCTAATGTGCTTCCTCGATGAGATTACTCGATGTCTTGACGACGGGATTCCGGTAGAGGTCTGTTATCTTGACTTTAGCAAGGCTTTCGACTCAGTAAATCACCGTTTCCTACTTGAAAAATTAGCATGGCTTGGAGTACATCCTAGACTTCTGTCTTGGGTGTCAGAATTCTTATGTGGGAGAACGTTTCGAGTTAGAATCGGTGCTGTGAGTTCTAGTGTGGGCGTGGCCTACAGTGGAGTACCCCAAGGATCGGTGCTAGGTCCACTTTTGTTTCTTATGTTTATAAACGACTTGGCTCCTCTTATTGAAGACCCCTGTTACATATTTGCGGATGACTTGAAGCTAGTCAGCAGGGGCAACCGTGCAACACTGGCCAAGGATATCACCAGTGTGGTAAACTGGTCGAAGCAATGGGACTTGCCCTTGAATGCAAGCAAGTGTCAAATTCTGACCACTAGTAGAGACGTACTTGCAGTTCAGACTTCCTTTGGGCCCTTCCCCATACAATGCACTACCCAGGCACGAGATTTGGGAATCATCATGACGAGCAGCTTCAAGTCTTCGATGCAATGTCGATAGGCCGCCAACAAAGCGCGACGAGAATTGTTTCGCCTCAGGAGGGCTCTGTGTAATACCAAGCCAGAAGTGTTCCTGCCACTATACAAAGCAGTGGTTAGGCCACACTTAGAGTATTGTGTTCAAGCTTGGTCGCCCTATCTCCGTGGTGATGTTCTTTGCCTGGAGAAGATTCAAAGACTAGCAACCAGGATGCTTGAAGGTCAACGGGTGAAGCCGTATGAAGATCGCCTAAAGAGCCTGGGGTTGTTTTCCCTTGAACGGCGTAGACTGAGAGGGGATCTGATAGAAACATTTAAGATCATGAAGGGCCTCAGTGCCATCGTGCCCTCTGATCTACTTGAGTTGGCTGATTCTGAACACTTGCGTGAACATCGCTTGAAGCTCAAACAGCAGAGAGCTAGACTGAACGTCAGGGCTAAGTTCTTCTCGAATCGTGTAGTGCGCAACTGGAATAAGTTGCCTTCGGAACTAATGGATTGTGAGACTGTGGTTGCCTTCAAAGCAGGCCTAGACAGGTGCTGGCCGCGTATTTTTCCGGAATTAATATAATCCTATCCAATTTATTCGCATTGATATCGGATGTTGATCCTTGTAAAAGCAAAGGTTGCTCTCGCTTTTGCTTCATTTCTTTTTGCAGAGGCAAGGAGAGGCGATCAAAAATCGAAGTGCCGGGGCTCTGGTTCGCTTACCGGTACAAGAAGCTGGAGGCTCGTTAGGCGGAAGCCTGTATCGTCCACGGATTTTGACCTAACCTGACCTATTTTCGGACTCCGCACCTAAGCAGCGCTGCTATAAACTGGTGACTCTGACGTGAGTTCGTTCTACCGGATTCAGCTTCCATCATCCGGTGAGTCGGGTTCATTTTCGTCGTTCCTTTTATTGCTTTCATGTATGCGAATATGATTGATCAGCAAACTGGGGAGATTAACACCGTATCTACTAGCTGTTTACCAACATCTTGGGTACAATACTCCCAGCTTTGGGTTTTTTCAGGCCGAGTCATTTTTTGAAATTAATCGCATACATAGGGATATCTCAAAAGTTCATTATGTGATCTCTAAGCTCCCACCTGAATTATTACTCCTGGCACAGGATATCCTGAAGACAAGCCCCACATACCAGCAACTAAGGGACTTTTTAATTCGCGAGCTTAGCCTTAATGAGCGTAAGAGAGTGCAACGTCTACTTATAGAAGAACAGTTAGGCGATCGCACTCCTACGCAACTACTGCGAGCCATGTAAGCTCTGGTAGGTGACAGCCCTCCAGAGAATTCCATCTTTAGGCAGTTAATTTTGCAACGGCTCCCTACACACGTACAACAAATACTGGTTAACGCTCATCAGGATACCGACTTGAAAGACCTAGCCCTTATGGCTAATAAAATAATGGAAATACAAGCGCCCACGATCTCAATTTCTTCGCCTCCTATAACTGACGACTCGCTTGTGAAAGCTGTACACTCCCTGCAGCAGCAACTGGCCTCCATCTCCATCACCCGCCGAAACCGTAATTCTCGGTCAGGCCAGCGGCGTATTCGTAGCGCTAGTCGTTCACGTGGCATTTGTTGGTATCACCGTAGGTTCCGTAACAAAGCTCGGAAATGCATAAAGCCGTGTCGATTTTCCATTTCGGGAAACGAACACGCCAGCTCGTAATGGAGACGACGCAAGCTGGCATATGCGAGCTAGGTCGCCTCTTTTATCTGCGAGACGTAAGATCTGGTATGCGATTCCTCGTAGACACTGGTGCCCAAGTCAGTGTGGTTCCTCCATGTCCGGAGGATTTAAAGCACTGCTCTGTATACAGCCTGCAGGCAGTAAATGGCACGCCCATCCAAACCTATGGAGAACGGTCTATCACGCTGAACCTTGGTCTCCGTAGGCCTTTTCCTTGGATTTTCTTTGAAGCCAAAGTGCTCACTGCCATTCTAGGCCTCGATTTCTTCCAGCATCGTAGCATTATTGTCGAGCCCAAGCGCTGCCAAATCATTGACGGCCTAATGCAAATATCTCGGGCTGGTTTTAAAGGGTCCATTATGTCTATGAGTCGGCAGCTTGCCCCACCACGAGCCACTCCAAAATACTTGGATTTGTTACGAGAGTTTAACAGCTTAACAAAGCCTGGATACCAACCCGGTGATGTCAAACATGAGATCGTCCATAGGATAACGACAACAGGTAGTCCAGTCTACCATCGTCCGCGGCGTTTAGCGCCAGATAAGCTTTCCGTAGCGAAGGCTGAATTCGACCATATGCTACAATTGGGCATAATACGTCCATCCAGCAGTACATGGGCATCGCCCCTACATATGGTCCCGAAAAACCAGCCTGGGGATTGGAGACCTTGTGGGGATTATCGGGGACTAAACGCTATCACCGTCCCAGACAGGTATCCCATTCCGCATCTCCAGGATTTCTCTTCCTCGCTATACGGAAAACACGTGTTCAGTAAGATAGATTTAGCACGAGCATATTACCAAATTTCTGTCCATCCTCAAGATGTTCATAAGACTGCCGTTACCACACCTTTTGGCTTATTTGAGTTCTTGCGAATGCTATTTGGTCTCTGCAATGCAGCTCAAACATTTCAGTGTTTTATGGGTCAGGTTATTCGTGAGCTCGATTTTGTTTTCGTCTACATAGACGATGTCTTGGTTGCAAGTTATAACCATGACGAACACTTGCGTCATCTGCGACAACTGTTCGAGCGATGTGCGCATTATGGGGTGGTTATCAATGCCTCCAAGAGTCAGTTTGGTGTTGATACGTTAGACTTTCTTGGTCACCGTGTTTCCTCAGCCGGAATTACACCCCTACCCGACAGAGTGACAACTATCACTGAATACCCTATCCCCGATTCCATCAAAAAGTTACGTCGGTTTGTAGGCATGGTTAACTTCTACAGACGTTTCATCCCACACTGTTCTGAGTTAGCCCAGCCACTTACCGAGCTACTCAAATTAGATGCCAACTCATTCAACGGAATCAGGTAAGCGGGCATTCAGCGATCTAAAACATCAGCTAGCAACTGCCACTCTCCTCATGCATCTTGATCCTAAAGCTCCGCTACAGTTAACGGTGGACGCTTCCGATGCAGCAGTAGGTGGTGTGCTCCAACAGCGACAGGGAGGTG